GGGGGGGGGGGGGGGGGGTAATGAGATATCCCATATCTTGTCTTAAGTGACTATCTAACATAATGAGATTATCATATACCTATCTTGTACATAAATCAATTGGTGCATCAAACATATTTTTAGGATAAATTTCTAGAGAGATTCTTTGAGATTTTTATGATAGAGTCCTAGAAAGATCCTTAGATATTTTTATGATAAATTTTGAGATATCACTCGTGTGTATTATTCATGTATTTGTGAAGAGATGAATCACACAACAAGACAATTCTTTTCCAAATTAGAGTTCTTTACAAATCCTTAAAATAGGTATAGTATTTTTAGTTCTAAACAATATCCTAAAGACAAACAATATCATTTTATATCTAAACAATATTTTGATATTTAAAATTGAAATTTTGATTTTTTTTTGTCTGACAATTTTAAACATAAATTAAACACTTAAATATGATTTTAGTTTCTGTAAAATAAACAAGTTTTGATTTTGATCTCTGTAATAATTTTCTTTATTTTTTATCCTTTTAAAATTTGTGAATGTTATTTTTTATCCTTGCAAAATAAACAAAAATTGGCTTTAGTCCCTCTAAAATGTTTTTCTTAAATTTTCATCCCTCTAAAATCTAAAGTCATTATTTTTAGTTCCTAATGAACATTTTAAATTATATAAATAATATTTGTTTTAAAGTGCTAAAAAAATTTAAAGTACTATCATATATCGATAAAGTATCATAAATAGTTGTAAATATTACTTGAGATTGTCACTTAACTTTTTAAAAAATAAATAAGTAATTAAAAATGATCATATAATAATAGGACTAGAAACATAGTTTCAAATTTTAGAGAGATAAAAAAAATTACAAAAACCAAAATTAAAATTAACTCATTTTGCATGAACATAAAAATATATTTAAACTTAAATTAAATTGGGATTTTTATTTAAAAAAATATTTGTGTTATTAGGAATATTCTTAAACTGCCAAAAATAATTATCCATCATATAAAATCTTCAGTAGAATGTTCTATCCTTACTTTAATTAAAGTTTTAAATATTTACGAAAGATAAATATTAAGAATAAATTCCATTCAAGAAAAAAGAAAAATATACCACAACGAAAAAAAAGAGAGAGGATGTTATCGATTAGTAGAAGTTAACATTTAATTTAGTCCTGTATGAGCAATAATTTATGATATTATGGTCTTGCTCCCTAAAAATGCATGCTTATACAAATTAATTAATTCCCCCAAAAGTATCAACTTAATTATATTGACAGTATGTTTTATACCAAACACATTATCTTTTTTAAAGAACTAATTTGTTTTATTGGGAAAAATCCGAGTCCCACATCGACTAGAGATTAGGCAATTGAATAGTATATAAGTGGAAAGCAACCCTCACCTTACAAGCCGGTTTTGTAGGGTTGAGTTAGGCTTAATCCACTATTCTAACATGATATCAAAGCTATTTAGATCAATCATTAAAAATGGGCCACCCACCATTGATGCATGCCTCATAGGTATGAGGGGGTATATTTAGAAAAACCCAAGTCCCGCCTATCCTAAATCATTAAAAAAGGGTCACCCACCATTTATCCACGTACCAAGTCCAATAGTGCTGGACGTGAGGGGTGTATTGGGAAAAACCCGAATCCCACATCGACTAGAGATTAGGCAATTGAATAGTATATAAGTGGAAAACACTCCCCTTACAAGCCGGTTTTGTAGGGTTGAGTTAGGCTTAATCCACTATTCTAACATGTTTAAAGAAAACTTTTAAAGATTAAAAAAAACAAATTCAAGTGCCGAATTTTATCATATGACAATTTAAAAAAAAAAAAAAGAAAAAACTGATAAAAGGAGAGCAGACATATTATTATTTTAATAGATAAGTATGGGAGGGGTCCATAGACAGAAAAAAGAAGACATGTTACAGGATAGCACTCGGTGGCACAATTAAGCAAGAAGCATCATACACAAAATGCCCCAAAAGGTTAATAGTATTTCCCATTTATATAATTCATGTCCCATGCACATGCAAGATGCCTTGATGCATGGCATCTTGTTAATTTCAACAAGCAAAGACACCAACAGTGCAACTTTTGGCAGCCCAAAAACTAATATATATTCTCCACAAGGTGTGTCCATTTGTCCTACACCACTGAATTGGAGTTGCAAACATTACTATTACACTATTTCAACAATGATGAAGAGCCTAAAACAAGTGAAGAGAACAAAAACCTACCGTCTTGAAAAAACTTGTTCAGAAATGGAACAATACCAATTCACAGACCCTAGTGAGCAATATTCCACAGCAACAGCCACAAGTAGTTTTGTGGCAAAAAATTCCCCTCCAAAGGTGGAGTTTCCCACTTCACCAGAACTCCTATTTGGGGAAGAAATTCTTCACTTCAGCCACCCACAGCACCCTCTCTCAAAGGTGGATCTGCCTGACCTATTCAACTGTGCAGGCTGCAAAGAGTATGGCTCTGGAAAGAGGTTTGTTTGCCAACAATGTGATTTTCAGATGCATGACTTCTGTGCCTTGGCTCCTCCTGCTCTCAAGGCCCACCCCCTCCACTCTCAACACTCTCTCTTGTTCCACTCCAAACCTGGTAAGTCACCATATACCTTCTTTTTCTCATTCAATTAAACTTCAGAATTTGTTCTTTGTATCAAAATATATATTCACTATAAGTTACTATAACTTTGTATACACATCACCATGATTTTTTCTTTTCAGAATATTACTTTTCCTGATTGAATAGTTTAATTATATCAATATTGCATGTTAAAATAATTGTTTTAACTAAATTTGAGATCAATTTTATACGTATTCATGAATATAAAATGTATTTTTAGTTGTATTCTTAGTTAAAAAAAATTAATTTTAAATTTAATATATTGTATTTCAGCAATAATATGAACTGAATATTTATAAAAATTGTTAAACAACGTAAGTGTAACTCAGAATATATTTATGCCTCTGTAACAATAAAGGGGCTTCGATGTTATTTAAATTCCTCAAAATTTTCTGAAGTTATTATTCTTCGAATAGTTTTGTTATTATCCCCTTATGCATGGCCGGTCTATCCTTAAGTCGTGCATGATTCTTAATTATGTCTAGCTCTGCCAATTATAAATATTAAATTCGGTTGATAAGTATCAAAATACTTCAATTAAAAGAAGTGGTGTATATTGAACTAGTATATAGCTTTTTTTTAATACATAACTCTGAAGTATCTTTATCAGAATTCAGAAACCAATCAATCCTGTTAAGTTAACTATTCCATGATATTCTCTCTCTCTCTCTCTTTATTCACCATTATCTTACTTCTAATTAATTAATTTGTGTTGCATTACTTTCTGTAAGAAAACTGTTCCTACTCAATTATGGCGACTTTTTTTCTTTTCCTATTAATTAATTAACGAGTTTTAATTACTATTATACACTAAATTTTGGATAACCATTAGTTTTTCTCACTAATACCCTTATTTCATCGTAAACTAATCTTATTCATGCTACTGAGACTACTAGTAACTTAACAAATGTTTAAATACGTTGTGAATGATTTATATTTCAGCACAAAATCAGATAACCATGCTCAAACAATTATTTAATAACTGCATAAATTTAAATTTCTTTTTATAGTGAAATCAAACTCGGTACTATTTTTTTTATAAAAAAAAAAGACAACTAATATATATATCATGTTTAAATAATTGAGTTAAATGTGACTTTTTATATAATTAAAACATTTAAAAAAATATAATACTATTTGCATCCATAGATTCTTAATGCAATTTTTAATAAATTTTTTATTTTTATATCACGTGTGACTTAAGAAAATTTTATATATTTTGCTTGCACGAAACAACTTAAATTAGATTCTTAATTAACTTTTCGTGAATTTTATAATAAACGCACTTTATTCTTTTATAAAAATCCAATTTTTATACGAGAATAATTCTTTTGTCAAACTGCTTGGGTGATAAAATTTACAAGAATTAACTTACGCTTTGGTTTAAGAAGGAGAATTATTAAGAGGAATAGAAGAAAATAGATAAAAATTAATTTCATAAAAAGAATAGATAGAAAATAGTGTAAAATTTATTATTATTTGATAAAATGAAATTATAAGTTAGTATTTAAAAATATATATTTGATATAGTTAATTTTTTATATAAAAATATATTATTTACATTTTTTTTTAATTGATAATCTCTTAATTTCCTCTTCATTTTCTACTAAATCAATTCCTTCAAATACACCATTAGATTTATTTAAATAAAGTCCTTGTGTTTGTATTTGTTAAAATGATGCAGGCAAGAGTGGGATGGGGACGAAGTCGAAATGCGACGTGTGCGGGAAGCCGACGAAGGGGTTCGCCTTCCTGTGCACGGCATGCGCATTTCACATGCACCCATGCTGCGCCATGCTCACCACAGAAATGGAGTACCCACGCCACCCACACACCCTCAGGCTCATGCCAACGCCGTCCAACGCCCCAGACCCCGCCTCCTTCACCTGCGCCGAGTGCAAGCGGAGAAGGTCCGGCAAGGTCTACCGTTGCACCGTCTGCGACTACCATCTCCACGCCCTCTGCGCCAAGGCCAAGATCAACGGCCTCCTCGCCAACGGCATCTCCCTCCCCGACAAGCCCAGCGTCCTCTCCTCCGCCGCCAGGGTCGCCTCCCAGGTCGTCATCGAGTTCATTGGCGGCCTCGTCGAGGGCATCGGCGAGAGCGTCGGAGATGTCCTCGTCCAAAACATTGCCAAAGGACGACCAGGAGGAGGACCTCCTCCTCCCACTACTAGTACTACTATTCTTCCATCCACTGCTAATCCTAAACCCCGATACAAATAATCATTCTCCACTCTATGTAGATATTTATATATAAAAACAATAATTGTATATCATTGATTGCTGCAACCATTTTATGTTGTATCATTAGTGTTTCCTATCTAATTCTGTTTTTCTTGTCGATTGAATTCAACTCTTATATGTGTGTAAATTGTAAAATTCATATATATATATATATAAATGTTCTACCAAGTTTGAGATCAAGTAATTAAACTTGTATACAATGTGCATGTGCTCTTCCTTGTTGTACGTGTATCCATGCACATGTACACCTCACTCAGCTATAAGATATAAGATATATTACACTTTTTAATCATATAATATGGTCAGCCCTATGATCAGTAACCTCAAATCAAACCTTACAGTATCGAAACTCACGCATATTTTTTAATTTCCTTCTCATCAAATTCAGACTCAAGTGGTCTCAATTCCTTGGAAATGGTCTCACCAACGATTATCACTGGAAAACTATTACCCTTGAAACTATTTTCAACCTCATCATAAATATAAGCCAAACTTCTTTTTAGCATTTGTCATGAAAATTGCAAGAGACATGCATGTGTCTACAAGCACACAAAGTTCACTATTGTAATAAAATGCAAATAGAATGCAGAAATGTACCTCAATAAAATAGCTACCCAGAACACCGGGAGATACATTCTGGACTTTAAAACCACCCAACTTTCTGTTATCATACATCACACCAGGATATGCAGATCCTATAAGACTTCTGCTGATGTGTATGACCCAGTACCTGCGCAATGAATCCTGCAAAAATTAGGGACACGTATTAGGAAAATAGGCCAGAGAGAAGTACATCACAATATTCAAACAAGGGAAAACCGATACTGACTTTGTGCCAGGAGTTGACAGGTTTCTACCCTTCAATGAGATAGAGGTTTCTTGTCCACTAACAATTGCCAAAGGGGACACGGATATCAACTCTGGTGATATCCATGTTCTCCATGATTTGAAATAAGCGTATCTTCCCAGGAATATTAGTTCAAATGAATCTAATTCAATTCCTTGGTAAGAAAATTCCATCTACAAGGTGCATTCAATCTTCTCAAGTTTAATTAGAAATGAGTAATCACCGATCCAATATTTTAGAAGAAAGAGAAATAGTCCAAAGATCAAAGCTTTGAACAAAATAATATCTAATCTAAAAATAAAAGGCAACAGTGACCAAAATCAACGACCAGTTCTCGTTATGGTGCTCACCATCTTTGTGTGAAGTCATCTGACTGCCAGAAAGATACATAATATTCATCCACCACTCATAATGAATTATACTAGTCTTCTGTCCACAATCAGAACCTAACCTTAATTAGCAAGTCTCTGTTCTGTTAACATTTAAAGAGTTGAAATTAAATAAGTTAATTTCTACGGTCATACTGTGCGGATAATAAACTATAAATCAAATGCTTTTCCACGATTCTTACGTCATTATATAATCGGTGTAATTTCTAAGGGAAATAAAGCCCTAATGAAAGGAGTTCCTAGAATAACCTCGTTTCTATGGTCCTTGACCAATAAAAAAGAGGTTTCAATTTGTTGACCTTGGTTTTCTATAATGGCTTTGGAAAGCTTGTATCTGATCTGTAATTTAGATCCATTAGCAGTGCTAAGCTTTTCAGATGTTTTCTCAAAATATTTGGTTGGAATGAGTCCCTCTAGGATACAATTGGAGTCTGCTCCTGTATCAAATAGAGCTACCGTTTCTAAGACGAAATCTTCAAACTCAAAGTCTAAGACACATAAGGATTGATCCTATTATAGAACTTTGAAGCTAATATATATATATATATATATATATAGGAATCAAAGACATTAAGACTAAGTTTTATAAAATAGGACAGATTGAACTCATTATACTAATAAAGACTGTAAAATTCTAAAATTTTTAATATAATATTATAAATTTTCTTATCATTATCTTATTTTAAAATAATAATTTTTAAATTTTAGTTACTATATTTAAAATAAATAGATAAATACAGATGTTGTATTTTGGATGTTATAAAAAAATTTCAGACAGGTTAAAATAGAAATATTTACTATTCAATTATATTATAACTTTTTTAGAATAATACATATATTATTATCATATATATATATATATATAAATTGTTAAAATTTCAAATGTTTAACATAAGTAATTATATTAAAAAAATTTAAAATATATTATGAAAGAGTAAAAGAAAGAGGAAAAAGAATCTAGAAAAAAAAATATTGCAAAAAAAATCCAAAAAAATAATAATTTGCAGCTAATGAGCTGCAGGTGTACAAAGAGATATAACTAAATCACTAACTAGATATAAAAAAAATATTAAAAAATTTAACTTACCTATAAAAGGCCTATAGGAAAGGACCATGAGAGTAAACGAGAAGGAGAGAGAGAGAGAGACATTTGTCCTTTTAAATTTTATATACTTATGTTTGTTTATTTTATGTGTATTTACTTAGTGAGGTGTCCCTAACTTCATTTACTTGCTTAATATATTCTTTAATACATTCCATTTTTTGTAAATTATCTTATATTAATATTAATTATAATATAGTTTTGTTAAAATATCATAAGTTCATCTTGTTGTTGTTTCTTCATACGTTATAAAATAAATGTTATTCTATGGCCATAAGGAATAAAGTTTGAATTAATTTATAGTTGGAAGTTTGACCTTGGGGATTTAAATGAGTAAGGACTTAAGATGAAATATCCTTTTGTTGGTTGATATTATTACGCTCATTTATTCTGACTAGTCACTACTAAAATAATTCAAATTTTATTATAACATGAAAATCTAATATATATATATATATATATATATATATATAT